AGCCCACTGTGGGTGGTACCCGTCCTGGGCTGGTGGTCCTAGGTGCTATTAAGAGATTGAGCAAGCCATGGGAGCGAGCCAGTAAGCAACACTCCTCCATGGTCTCTTTCTTAGCTCCTGCCCCCCAGGAACCCCCAGGTTCCTGCCCTGTTGAGTTCCTGCTTTTGCTATCCTCAGTGGACCATGACCCAGGATATGTAAGCCAAATAAACCCTTTCCTCCCCAAGCTGCCTTTGGTCATGGTGTTTAACAGGGCAATAGAAACCTAAGGCAGAGAGCTCTCATCACTGCAAGGGGTTCCCAAAGGTTAACTAAAGATATCTAAGCAGGGGCTGGGGAGACGCCAAGCAGATGTGAGGACCTGAGTTCAAATCTAGCACCATGTAAATTCCGGGCACTGTGGTGCACATCCTAAACCCAGAACTGGGAGGTAAGGATGCTAAGAGAGAAGGATTCCTGAAGCCTTCTAGACGCCTTGCTTAGCCAAATTTGTGAGCTCTAGGTTTGGTGAGATACCTTTTGTCAAAAAGTAAAATGGACAGCCACGGAGGAAATATTTGATGCTCAGCTTTGGTGTCTACATGCATACACACACGTGCAGAGAGACAAACACAACACGCATACTCTACACAGGACAAACACATGAAGCCATCCATCTACATGCTGGCAGGGATAAACAGAAGAAAGTGTACCAAGCATGTCTCCTTCAGGGACTGGGGGACAGTGCTAAGACCCCGAACACGCTAGGCAAGTGATTCAACACTGAGCTATCTCCTTTCACTTTTTATTTTGAGGCAAAGCCTCCTCAATTGTCCAGCCTGGCTTTGAACTTGTGATCTTCCTGCTTTAGTCTCCTGTGCAGCTGGGATGACTTAGCCTGACCGTAAGGATCAGCTCAGCTCAGCTGTGGCCTGAGTGAGTCTCTCCAGACTTTCTCCTCACAAGGAGCTGGGTGTGTGAGGGGAACCACACCCACATTCCTCCTCATGGGTGCAAACTGGATGCAAGCATCGGGTAAGCCCAATGAGGGTCACCACAGAGCTCCTGAGTTTTCCCTAAGTCTCGCTGTGATTCACTCATCTTTATCACCCCCACCTGCTGGCCCAGTGGGTGTTGTGCTCAAAAGCCTGCAGTGGATGCTCTGGTCTCCTGATAGCCAGAAGGTAAGGCAGATCCAAGAACCCTCCCCTTTTAGGAGGGAGTTTCATGTAGCTCAGGCTGACCTCAAACACCACACAGCCAAGGATGACTTTGAACTCCTGTCCCTCCTGCTGCCTGAGTGCTGGTATCTCACGTGCAAGGCCGCACACCCGGTTTCTACACCTGCTAGAGACAGAATCTGGGATTTTGTGCATGCTAGGAACGTGCTCTGCCCATGGGACCCCAGCCCAGCTGCAATGCCATCTAGTTTTGCTGGTGCTGTAGGCACACAGGCAACAAGGCCACTCCCAGATGCATCTTTTGATTAAGAATTAGAACAAGCCAGGTGGTGGTGCACGCCTTTAATCCCAGCACTCGGAGGCAGATCAGGTGGATCTCTGAGTTGGAAACCAGCCTGGTCTACAAGAACTAGTTCCAGGACAGGCTCCAAAGCCACAGGGAAACCCTGTCTCAAAACACCAAGAGAAAAGAGAGAGACCAAATGCCACCGATCCTGGGAGGGCCATCCCCAAGCAAGGTGTGCACTGCCCCGTGTATGGAAATCCGTGGAAACACAACCCTCAATCTGCTGGAGGTCAAGGGGATGAACCAGTGCTCTTCTGGCCACTCTTCTTTACTGTGTGGACGTCTGATGACAAGAAGGGACCTGTACTTCTTCAAGGGCAGACACCTTGCCTGCAGAACTTGACTGGGATGCCAAAACATTGGGATGGGTTAGGGGCAGGCTTGGCCAAGCATCGGATTGTTCTGTCTGGATCAGTCAGGCTGAATGTCTGGTGGCTGCGAACATCTCTAGAGCCAAATGGACCGCGTGACGGCTTCTCCCAGAGACAGCTGGGTCAGGAGACAGAAAACTGTGGACCAGGAGGGCAGAGGAGGGGAGTTGTGTGCCAGCTGCCTCCCTGGACCAGGAGGCCACACCACAGAACCATGGGACAGCTGCCTGAATTTGGAGGTGTATCACGGAGGAGGGGGCAGATGTGGAGTCAAGATTGAAGTGGCATGTCCCTTCTGAAGCTGAAGGGGTCAGCCTTCCTGACCACATGGGGGGGCTGCTGGTGAGTTCCGGCCATCCTTGGCGTATAGATGTTCTCAAGTTTCTGAGGTCACCTGACTATAGTGTGTGTGTGTGTGTGTGTGTGTGTGTGTGTGTGTGTGTGTTCTCTTTGGGAGGCTCCAAAGCCCAGGATGAGTTCATCTCACTGTAACTAGCTACATGTGCAGTGACCTTATCTCTAGTTAAGTGAGTGAGTGAAGGAACAGGAGGTTGGACTTGACTTTTTTTTTTCTTGAGGGGGTGAATTACAGTTCAGTCCTTAGTGTCTTTTCTCAGGTCTAAAAGCCATGACATTCCCACATGACGACACACATGGAGCGTGATGACCGTGGCCACCACACTCAGAGATGGGGTCACCACCACATAAGCCTGTGCTCTTGAGGAGCCTCCATACCTTGGGGCTGAAGGAAGGATGATCAAAGGCAGTAATTGTGCCACCAGGAGCCAGGACATTTTTTCTGTTAGGAGGCCTGGCCCAGGCTCCAAGAGGCTGGCTCTGGGGAGTTAGCACCACGGTGGTCAGATAGCTGCTGGCTCAAATCTTTACCTGGAGGTTCTCAGAGAGAGGAGCTGGTCTGCTGGGGCTCCGGGCCCTGATTGTAGGGGATGCCCAGCGCTCTGGTGTTGGTGCCTATCAGCCATGAAAACCCTTGTGGAGAGAGGCGGAGGTCAATGCTCGGGACTGGGACAGGTCCTCCAGTCTCCCTCAGAGGAGGGACTCTGGTTTTAGTGACAGCTCTCCCAAACGAAGGCTCTCTCAGTCATGGAGACTCCTTCCTGCCCACGGTTTAGACAGGAGGAAGACACATCTCATTGTGTATGGGGCAGATGACTGACCACAGGTGGCTACCCTGCCGGCTCAGACCAGATCTGAAGAAGCTACAGATTAAAGAACACCATAGCTGGAGCTGCAGCTGCAGTCTGAACACCAGGGCTGGGCTGGAGCTGCAGCTGCAGTCTGAACACCAGGGCTGGAGCTGCAGCTGCAGTCTGAACACCAGGGCTGGAGCTGCAGCTGCAGTCTGAACACCAGGGCTGGAGCTGCAGCTGCAGTCTGAACACCAGGGCTGGGCTGGAGCTGCAGCTGCAGTCTGAACACCAGGGCTGGGCTGGAGCTGCGGCTGCAGTCTGAACACCAGGGCTGGGCTGGAGCTGCAGCTGCAGTCTGAACACCAGGGCTGGGCTGGAGCTGCGGCTGCAGTCTGAACACCAGGGCTGGGCTGGAGCTGCAGCTGCAGTCTGAACACCAGGGCTGGAGCTGCAGCTGCAGTCTGAACACCAGGGCTGGGCTGGAGCTGCGGCTGCAGTCTGAACACCAGGGCTGGGCTGGAGCTGCAGCTGCAGTCTGAACACCAGGGCTGGGCTGGAGCTGCAGCTGCAGTCTGAACACCAGGGCTGGGCTGGAGCTGCAGCTGCAGTCTGAACACCAGGGCTGGAGCTGAGGCTGCAGTCTGAACACCAGGCTGGGCTTCAGCTGCAGCTGCAGCTGCAGCTGGGTGCTTGCTTGGTGTGCACAAGGCCCCGGGCTTTACCCCAGCACTGCAGAAACCTGCTTTGGTATTTCCCACCTATAACCCTAGCACTTAAGAGGTGGGGCAGGAGGATCAGAAATTCAAATCCCTCAGTCATCTACTAGCTCCATGCCAGCCTGGGCTATGCGAACCCCTATCTCAGTGTCAGCAGAGACCTGGAACAGCTCCCACGACGTCCCTAACCCTGCCTCACAGTTGTTGAGGGTGCATGCTGCCCTGTCACGTGATGATCCTCCTCTCTGGCCACCTGCTGCTGCAGGACCAGCTGCAAAGTGGCAGAGCTGAGCAGGGGGAGGCAGAAAAACTATCAGCTGAGGTAACAGATGTCCACAGGGTGAGAACGGCCGGGTGTTGGGGTGGTGAGGCCAGACCATTGAGGTCAGGTGTGCTCAGCAAACTCAGGAAGGGACTTCCGGAAATCCACTTGGTGGCCTCGGCCTCGGCCTGGTGTCTGCCCTTGACGCTGTGGACTTCCTGAAGACACCTTAACAAGGAGCCTCAAGCTGTCTCATTCCTTCTGAAGAGAAGCTGGTGTCTGGGCATGGGATCCCTGGGCCAGAAGTTCATCATCAGTAGGAGGGTGGGAGAGGCCATGGAAGCTGACACAGGTTCCTGGGGACAGAGCGGAGGGTCGTGTGCAGGCTAGGCAAGCTCTCCATCATGGATCTACCTCTAGCCTTCTCTTTACTTTTATGTTCAGGATGGGTCTTCCTGAGTTTCCCAGGTTACCCGGTTCACTCTGCTCCTCAGGTAATCTTTGAATCTGTGTGCGATGACAGGTCTGTCCCACTGTGACTGAAGCTGGACAAGTGACTTAAAGATCCCATGTAGCTCAGGCTAGCTTCCCCCTTGATATGCCCTTGGACTTGTTTCTTCTGCGTCCATCTCCCAAGTGCTGGGATTGGTACCATGACCGGTTTCTGAGGTGCTGGAGGTTCATGCATGCACATAAGTCATCTACCAACTGAGCTACATCCCCAGCCACAGACAACACATGTAATGAAAAGTTAAACCACCATTTTCCAAAGCCGTAGTCAGACATCCGCAGTGTCAACAAACACAGACAAGCAAACATACAAATAAACCAGGGTGTCCATTTCACATCACTTTAGCCAAGAATCTCTGAAGCACTAGTAACTCTTGTTCTTCAAAACATCCATTGAGATGTGGGGAAGTGTCCTCAGTGAGGCTCACCCAGACATAGGTCACCCCTCCACCTCCCCCCCCCCCCCCAAGCAGAGGCAGTGGCATTTAGTGCACGCCTTGCTTGGGCCAGTGCAGCTCTCGGGCGTAAGCCCCTTTGCAGCTGCGGATCTCTCTGTCATGTTCCAAGCACTTGTTCAGGCCTGGCACCCCAGATCGCCATCCGATGAGGCCCTGGGTGGTCTTTGGGATTGGAGGTGATGGAAGGATCTGAAGTAGAAACACGGGGTTAGTCATAGCAAAGACTCCTTCCTGCCCACAGTGCTGATAGGAGGAAGACATGTGTTTCATTGTGGGGCAAATGACCACACGTGCCACACTAGTGTCTAAAGCTGCCCATAATGCCACATGAGGCCCAGCATGGAGAAGACAGAAAAACCAACATTAAGCAGTGTGTGCTGGTGTGTGTGTGTGTGTGTGTGTGTGTGTGTGTGCTGCAGGTTTGACTTCTGTTTCTGTTTCTTTGGTAACACTCTTACCAAAAGCAACCTGGGGAAGAAACAGCAGGCTGAGGTAGAAACCACAGAGGAATGTTGCTTGTGTTACATATGCAGGCGTGTGCGCAAGTATGTGTGCAATACTCACATGTACATGCAGATGCCTTACCAACAAGGTTCCCAGCCTGGTTGCAGGGCTCTTGTGTCTGCCCAGCATGACTGTATCCTCACCTCTAGTGGCTGGACAGACCACACTTTGCAGTAGGACTTACATCTTTCTTAGAAAATGGTGTACAAGCAGCCTGACAAACCTTGATATATTTGTCCATGGGGCTCACGGGCCGGACACAGAAGTGGCTGGGCAGCTCGATCTTGGGCTTTGGGGTGTGTGGTTTTTCTTCACCTTCCAGTAGCTGAAACAGAACCCCAGAGACAGGAACCTCAGGCCAAGGTCCTAGGACCTGGGCCCTTCCTTCACCCCGGAAGGCCACCACGTATGTCAGAAAGCACCCATGGGGATCCGAACTCAGGTGCACTGGTTCCAGCACAGCAGAGATGGTCAGGTGGCATCTAAGCTCCCGAGTTAGTTCCGAGTGGCACCTGCTGAGAATCCGCTACTACTCTTCCAGCCCAGGAACCAATACCCCCATCATCGGACCAGAGAAGACATCCTTGGTCATGAACTCAAACTACAAACTGAGCCAGTTCCAAGACCAAGCTTTCCAACAAGAAATGAATGGCCCATACCCTGGGAGAGTTTAAAGCCATTTAAAACTCCCTGGAAACCCAATTTAATTACACACGAGGAATATTAATAGCGAATCACTCTCCAACAGTACGTTATTAAGGCCTCTACTTTATGCATCGAATTTCAAACTGTATAACTGTCTAAGAATTTTTAAAGCCTCATTACAAATGGCATAATTTCAAAGCTACGTACTGGGTGGGCTGCGGGTGGGGCTTCCGATGCTGTGGGTTAAGAGGGTCTTATATCACTGTGTCCTGGCAGAGGAAGAGGACCTGGCTGAGGTCTGTCACACACGGGCCATACTGGACGCCCCCTGGGCATTATGAATGTCTACATAGTGGGTGTTTTTGGTTTTTTGTTTTTAAAAATAGGACCCACTCCCCAGAGAAGCAGGTTTGAGACTGGTGGAACCCCCCTCCCCCGAGCTTACGGTGGCTGCTTCTGTGATCAACACTGTCTCTGCCCATCTCACCACAACCCCGTGTGTGATTCTTGTCCCCTCTCATTCTGCCATCTGTCAGGACCCGGGCCGATCACGCTTTGGGGAACACCTTCCAGGGAAGCCACTGCTTCAGCTGTTCCTTACAGGTCCCCTCGTCTCCAGGCCCGCAGAGGGGTCCACACACCTTTGTCCTGACTACCCTGTATATGTATGTGTGTGAGTGTGTGTGTGAGTATGTGTGAGTGTATGTGTGTGCATGTGTGCGAGAGAGAGAGAGAGAGAGAGAGAGAGAGAGAGAGAGAGAGAGAGAGTGTGTGTGTACCTGTGCCTGCACATGTGGAAGCCTGCACATCGGGTGCCTGTTGCATGGCTGTCACCAACAAAGTCATCTCCTTAGATCCTCTCTCTCTCAGTTCATTTTTGCTGATTATCCAATGGAAGCTGACATCCATTTCCTGACATGACTGGGTCTGGGCTGGTGTCAGGGATGGGAAAGGGAGCCTCGGATGAACTTTTCAATTACCTTCTCCATGGAGGTCGTTAAATATCCCCACCTTGTTGGCCAGTTTTCCTGGGCCTCATATTCAGTCTTCAGACGGTATCTCCTGAGAAAAAGAGATTCTAAGTGGGAGGTACCGCTCTCGGAAAGGCCCGGTGCTTGCCTCTGTCTTGTGCACTCTGAGCGGCTAGCTGGTTTGCAGGGACTGTGAATGTGGCTGGAGAAGAGAGGGTTCAGTGCCCTTGACCGAGCCTCCCTGAACTTGTGGGGAGGCCCTGGCAGGAGGAGGGAAGAGATGGTATAGTGGGTGTAGTGTGGGGTCAGATGGGCCTGGGGCTGGCTGTGAGAGGGGCCTGGGAATACTAGGAGGCCCTACCTACCCTTAGAGGAAGAGCAGAAATGGCAGAAATGCCCATGGGATGGGATAGGGAGTTTGAAACGAGACACTTAGCCTTGGGCTCCTGTGAGTACAGACTTGGCAAGTGTGACCTTGACATCAGAAGAACATCCTTGAATGTTGTTCCCAGGTGCTCCACCCCTGTCCAATCCAGCCCGTTCTGGTTCACTACACATTAAACATCGTTTCTAGGTGCCCACACGTGAGCTGGGCTGAGGGGCAACTAGCTGGTGAGGCAATGCCTTAGTTCTGCAAACATGGAGTTCAACCTGATCCTTCAAGTTCCTTCTATTTGGGAATCAGAATCTGTACCCCTCGTGTGTGCGTGTGCGTGTGTGTGGATATGCAGATGTGTGTAAAGGTCAGAGGCCAACCTTGGGTGTTGTCTTAGTTAGGGATTCTGTTGCTGTGATGAAACACTATGATAAAAAGCAAGTTGGGGATGAAAGGGTTTATCTGGCTTTCACTTCAGTGACTCTGTTCATCACAGAGGAAGTGAGAACAGGAACTCAAACAGGACAGGGACCTAGAGGCAGGAACTGAAGCAGAGGCCATGGAGGGGAGCTGCTCCCCATGGCTTGCTCAGCTGCTTTTTCACAGAACCCAGGTCCACCAGCCCAGCGATGACTCCACCCACCATGGGCTGGGCCCTTCCCTCGTCAATCACTAATTAGGAAAATGCCCTACAGGCTTGCCCACAGCCTCATCTTATTGAGGCATTTTGTCAATCGAGGCTCCTCCTCTCCAATGACTTTAGCTTGCATCAAGTTGACGTAAACTCCCTGGCACAACCGCCATTCTTCAGGAGCCCTCTCAGTAGGACCTGGGGCTCAGGCTTTACTGACTGACTACCAGAAAGTTCCAGGGACCGTCCTATCTCTCCCTTCCACACTGTGGAATTGTAAGTGTTCACCACACACCTGGCTTTTTACATGGGCTCTGGAGGTCAAACTCGGTCTTTATCCTTGTGTGCAAACACTTTCCAGGCTGAGCCCTCTCAGCCCTGGAGTGTGTCTGTGTTCATGTATGCTTATGTACATGTAGTGCTTGAGTGTGTGCATGTGTGTATACATTTAGTGCTTGAGTGTGTCCACGCATTTGCATACTTAGAGTATGAGTGTGTGCATGTGTGTGCAGTTAGTGTTTGAGTGTGTGCATGTGTATGCACAGTTAGTGTTTGAGTGTGTGCATGTGTATGCACAGTTAGTGTTTGAGTGTGTACATGTGTGTATAGTTAGTGTGTGAGTGTCTGTGTGCATGTATGTGCAGTCAGTGTTTGAGTGTGTACATGTGAGTGTACAGTTAGTGTTTGAGTGTGTGCATGTGTATGCACAGTTAGTGTTTGAGTGTGTGCATGTGAGTGTACAGGTAGTGTTTGAGTGTGTGCATGTGAGTGTACAGGTAGTGTTTGAGTGTGTGCATGTGTGTGCAGTTAGTGTTTGAGTGTGTGCATGTGAGTGTACAGTTAGTGTTTGAGTGTGTGCATGTGTATGTACAGTTAGTGTTTGAGTGTGTGCATGTGAGTGTACAGGTAGTGTTTGAGTGTGTGCATGTGTGTGCAGTTAGTGTTTAAGTGTGTACAAGTGAGTGAACAGGTAGTGTTTGAGTGTGTGCATGAGTGTGAACATTTAGTATTTGAGTGTGTACATGTGAGTGCACATTTAGTTCTTGAGTGTGTGCATGCATTTGCATACTTAGTGTTTGAGTGTGTGCACGTGTGTGGGAGTCAGAGGACAGTTCACGGCGTTCTAGGATCTGAACTTGGCCCCCGCCTGCTGCTGTCACTGGAGCTCCAGAATCTATTTCTCATAAAGGTGTAGCCCACGTGAGTCCAAAAGAGGCTCACAAACGTGGCTGCAAACTTCCCGTAGCCACGTCACAAAGGAGGTAAAATATACAGCTCTCACGAATTTTCATGACACTGTTTTGGGGTGAATCTTTGAAATTAGTTAATTTCCCATTTCTAGTTAACCTCACATCTGACCATGTCCTTTTGAGGTCATGTTGGATACTGGAAAGCAGCTACTGGGCACTCAGTAGGGGCGGGGCCTTTTGATCTGAGTCTTGAAGGATAGGTAGGAGTTTGTGTAGTGGAGTTGGGGGGAAGAGGATAATGGGTGGTGATAAACACTCTGAAAACACTGGTATTGTTTAGTTCATGGGGAATGACACTGTTTTCCACTTGGGAGAATTTTACAGTTTCCTATAAAATGAACTTAACGCAATAGTCCTGATATGAAGCAGACTCTTCATCAGTCTCCATCATCAGCTGTCCCCACAGGTGTTAAAGGAGGTAACAAAAGTCACAGAGGTGGTTAATAGGGAGCTCTCAAGGTGAGCGGGAGGCCTGTCATCCCACATACTGAGGTGGCTGCATCAGGAGGACAGTGAATTCAAGGCCTGCCTGGGCAACTCAAAATTCAAAGAAAAATAAAACCGGGCTGTAGCTCAGTGGCAGAGCGCTTGGCCAGCGTTGAGGCCCCCCGAGTCATTCCCAGTGCTGAAAGAGAGGGGGGGAGGAGGGGCAGAGGAAGAGGGAGGGAGGGAGAGAGAGAGGAGGGAGGGGAGGAGGGAGGGGAGAGGGAAAGAGACAGAAAGAGACAGAGAGAGGAGGGAGGGGAGGAGGGAGGGGAGAGGGAGAGAGACAGAGAGAGAGGAGGGAGGGGAGGAGGGAGGGGAGGAGAGACAGAGAGAGGAGGGAAGGGAGGAGGGAGAGGAGGGGAGAGGGAGAGAGACAGAGAGAGAGGAGGGAGGGGAGGAGGGAGACAGAGGGAGGAGGGAGGGGAGGAGGGAGGGAAGAAGGGAAGAAGGGAAGGGACATATGTTCTTGCATCTAAGGTCTACATCAGACCCTTCCTATAGTGGTTAAAATGTCAAATAATGGACTACTACTTGGCATTCAAAAATATCCATTACAAAAGTCTGCTGGACACAAATCTTTTAGAGAATAGATTTTTGTTGCTTTTGGAGACAAGGTCTCTCTATGTAGATCAGCAGACAGAGATCTGCTGGTCTCTGCATCTCCAGTGCTAGGCTTGTGACACCACACCCAGCCCTGGGTCTTTTAAAATTAAATTTTCTTCTCATTTAAAAGAATCTAGGAAAGCCAAGAAAGGCCGATGTTGTCAAAAATGAACATTTTAATTTTGCTTCTTTTTAAATTCCCTACTTGAATCCTTCCAGTCTCCGCGGTGGGCAGGAGGCAGGGTCGGCCAGACTGAGGTGTCTCTGTGTCCCTAACATTGCCCCCTCTCATCCAGATTCCCGATTATCCTAAGAGCACTCCTGTTGTTCCCAGGTCTTGGGGAAACTGAGGCCGCCAAGGTGCGCACGTGGCCCAGCCCAGTGGGCCTTACCAGATCTCGTCCTGGGCCACAAGGTTCATGCGCTCTGCGGCCGTGGTGCTGAGCGGCTTCTGTGCCATGGCTCTGGGGTCTCCACAAACCGCAAACTGAGTCCTCTTGCCCAAGACTCTGTCCTTTGTCACTGGGAGACCGGTTGCCAGGTAACACACGATGACGCGTAGGTGGAGGCGGAGACGGAGACACACCTGCAGGGGAGGAGGGGTCCCTGGAACTTGCTGCTGGCCTCTGCCCTCTGAGCGCCCAGGGGTCACCCTGTCACGGGCCCCTCTGAGAGCCGTCTAGCCCTGACACCAACATCCCCACTCTTGATACTGGGAATTGCGCCCAGAGCACGGCACACGCTTCACCATCCACCTACATCCCCATCCCCAGCGTCGTCTTTTTTTTTTAACGTGTTTAAAATTTTGATACAGGGTCTCCTAAGCCAGGCAAGCCCAAGCTTCGAGATAATCCCTTGTCAGCTACCTGAGTAGTCAGGATGGCCTGGCTTGTCCCTGGGCCTTTTCAAACCTTAAACCTCAAACATGGAGGTTAGCACATCCATCCAGGTGCAGGATCCCAAGAACACAGACAGAGCTTAGAGATGGCTCTTAGAACACACCCTCCTGCCGGACCCTGGACATCACAGACCAGCACTGCTAGTCACCTCCAGCCGTTGCAGATGCTACTCTGCCCTCTCCTTCCCTCCCTGTAGAGCTTGGCTGGGCCTCCGCTGGATCTAGTGTGGGCTGACTTGTCTAGCCAGGTTTGTCTTGTCTGCTGAAATTTGTGGGATGTCGTTTGTGTTTCCTGAGAGTCCTCACGTGCGCCTTTTAAACCCTCGTAGTATTCTGCCCCCTGCTCAAGGACAGTTCCTCTCAGTGGCTTGGCCTGCATTCATGCCTGGGTAGGTCCTCGGGTAGGCTTATGAAGTAGCAACAAAATAACTTTATGCCTGGGGGTCACCATGGCATGAGGACCTGTATTTAAAGGTCGCAGCATTAGGTAGATTGAGGCCCACTGGGCTAGATCAAATTATCCCATGGACAAGTCTATGGGTGTGGTCCTGATTGTTAATTGGTGCAGGAGGGCCCAGCCCACTGTGGGCAGCTCCATTCCTTATGCAGGTCGTCCTGGACTGTAGAGGGGCAGCTAAGCATAAGCCAGAGCAGTCAGCTGGCATGTCCTGCCGTGTTCCCCTGACTGTGGCCCGAACGCTCCGTGGTGGCAGCTGACTCAGTGTGCCCTGAGTTCCTGCCCTGACTCCCTCCACTTTGAACTGTGACCCAGAAGGGTAAAGCTGAAAGAAGCCCTCGCCTCCCCTATGTTGCTTTTGGTCAGAGTATTCGTCGCAAAGACGGAAAGGAACCTAGGAACCTAGGCCACCCACCCACCAGCAGGGTGGCAAGATGAAAGAGCAAAGCTGTACACACAACCTCTACCCGGCAGACCGGCTCCCCAAACACCAGTGGCCTGTGCTTGGTGGCTCTGACAGAACCCTCAGTTTCCATGTTTCTGAATTCCTCTTTTGCATACAGGCCTGGTGGGGGGATGTGCTTCCCTGAATGCCTGCCATTGCGCCTGGGAGCTGATGTCTCCAGTTCTAATGCGTGAATCCCTTTTCCTCTAATATTTGGAATAAAATATTTCCAAGTCTCTGGAAGTTTCCTTGTCTAACTCTCTCTCTCTCTCTCTCTCTATCTATCTATCTATCTATCTTTTTTTTTTTTTTTTTTTTTTTTTTTTTTGGTCGTACTTGTTCTTCTGAGCAGATTTGAAACAGAAACAGACAGGAGACTACTAGTCTTGCTGGCCACATGTGGGAAACTCAGAAAATATTTACAGCTTTGAGGTTCACTGTGCTCCCATGTATGAATATTTTTGGCCTTTGTTCAGTTCTCTGGGACAGCTCTTTTTTTTTTTTAATTTTTATTTCTCAATTTGCTTTATGAAAGTTGTTCCCACTCTGATGAGAGACAACTGCTTCTTTTATGGTTTGTTTTTGTTTTGTTTTTAAGCTTAACACTTTTCTTTTTTATTGGATGCTCTGCTTTTCTTTCTTTAACCTAAGAGTGCTTCGTTGAGGAGTGGTCTCCGCGTGCCCTTCGGTGCTCCCATTTCCTCTTGTTTATCCCAGGAGCCCCTACCGTGGAATGTTCCGTCCACATTTGATGGTGTCTTCCCACCTCAGTTAATCCAGAAACACCCTCACAGACAAGCTCTGCGATTCCCCTCCTAGGCGAATCTAGGTTTCATCTGGGCTAGTCTCAATGGTGGGCGAAGCTGTCCAGGAGAGGCGCTGCCCACACAGGGCTAGACGTGTTTGAAGGAAAAGGAGTTCATGTGGTGGGATGGGGAGAAAGCAGGCGGCACCTGCATTCTGCTCCAGGAAGTGTCACCCTTTGTCACAGGGAGGCCTCCAGTGGCCATTCTTTATGCATTTCTCAACAAGTGTTACAGAGTCACTTACTATTCCCAGAAACAGCAAAAAGGAGCATCGCTAGATCTAGGCTTGGCAGTCCTTGCAGGTTGAATAGTTTGTTTGTTCATTTTTCATTGCTATAACAAAATGCCTCAAGCAGTTAAGAAAAAATGGATCATTTGCTTAATAGTTCCCGAACTCCAAGAGCACAGTGCTGGCTTCCGCTCAGCTCCAATGAGGTCATCATGGAAGACGACATCACAATGGCTGGAGTGTAGCAGAAGGAAGAGCTGGTGTTATTTTCGTAGCTGCCACCTCAAGGAGAGCTGATGTGTGCTCCATACGACCCACACTGGTCCCACACCCATCAACAGCCCCAATTGGTTTTCCTGTGCTGTGACAGAAACAATTTGAGAAGGAAGGGTTTCTCCAGGGTTATAGATTAGGGGATTATTTCATCATAGTGGGTGTCTTAGTCACTGTTCTATTGCTGTGAAGAGGCACCATGACCAAGGTAATCCTTATAAAACAAAGCATTTAATTGGAGGCTTGTTTACCATTTCAGAGGGTCAGTCCATTATCTTCATGGTGGGGAGCATGGTGCTGGAGCTGGGAGCTGAGAGCTTTACATCCTGATCCACAGGGAGCCGAGAGAGAGAGAGAGAGAGAGAGAGAGAGAGAGACAGACAGACAGACAGACAGACACATACAGAGATAGACACAAATGACATATAGACACAAGAGACAGAGAAAGACAGAGAGACAAAGAGAGAGATACACAGAGAAAGACACAGAGACAGAGACATACAGAGGTAGACACATGACATATAGACACGAGAGACAGACACACAGAGAGAGACAGAGAGAGACAAAGAGAGAGATACACACAGAGAAAGAGACACAGAGACAGAGACAGGGAAGACACATACAGAGACAGAGACACATGACATAGAGAAATGAGACAGACACAGAGACAGAAAGACACAGACACCCAGACACACACACACACACACACATACACACACACACACACACAGAGAGAGAGAGAGAGAGAGAGAGAGAGAGAGAGAGAGAGAGACTAGGCCTGGCATGAGCTTTTGAAACCTCAAAGCCCACCCCCTAGAGCCTCTAGCAAGGCCACCTTCCCAACCCTCCCTAGACAGCCCACCAACTAGGGACTAACCATTTGATTACATGAGCCTATGAGGCCAGTCTCATTCAATCACCACAGTGAGCAACAGTGGCCGCGGGAGGGGAAGGTATGTGACAGGAACAGGAAGCTGGCTGGTCACATGGCATCCTTGGGAAGTAAAGAAGAGAGCCCCAATGACCTCCCGTGACATACTTCTCCAACAAGGCTTCCTCCTTCTAGAAGTTCCAGATGCTTCCCAAACAGCATCACCAGCTGGGAACCAAATGTCTGACACATGAGCCCTGGGGGACATGTTTCATTTAAAGCACAGATGAGCCAGAAGCTGCAGTGTGCAGATGCTCCAAAAGAAACATTGTGTCCTGAGGAACATTGTGTCCTGAGAGAGGCTCCTCCAAACCCTGGAAGGAAGCATCTCACACGCCCCAGAAATCCCTGAAACTGACAGGACTCACTAGGCCCCTCCTTCCCCAGGGTCATGTGAGCAGAAAGGGCTGCTGGGTTGGGGGAGTCTCCCACCTGTTGAGCTGCCTGCAACCCTGGTAGGGAGCTCCGGGGAGGCAGCGTGTTTGAGTTGCTGCTCTTGCTGGGGTGGGTTTTCCGCTGACGCACCTGCCTCTGAGTTAGCTATGATCTGTGGTCGTGCCGCTCTGAGCGCTCCCAATCCCCTCACCTTGCTAGAAGTCACCCCTCACTCATATCCCTGTGAGTGGCTCCAGTACACTCACCGCTTTGCCAGCTTGGACTTTGGTGCAGTCATTTCTTTGCTCTGTCCTTGGTGTCCTATCTGGAGCGAGGACACGCCTGTTCACGCCTCCCCAGGAAAAGCCATGCAATAGAAACTTAAATGCTTTAGAAGAATTGAAGCTGGGATAGAGACAGAGATAGAGGCTGGGAGACACGGAGGAGGGGCGTGGCTGGATGGGTCTTGGGGTATCTCCTGCCTCCTGATCCCTCCCCAGTAGTTTTGTTTTGCAGATGGCAGGTGTCCTTGGAGTCGTGACCATTTCCCAGTGAACCTCTTTCTCTGCCCCTGGAAGGCCCTGTGGGTAACTGGTCATTACTCTGTCCAGTCCTGGCTCCCAGTGCCCCTGGCTGTTGAGAATCTTGGCCCATCTCACCCACACATATTTGCAGCATCGTATTTGACACCAAGGCTTGGTTAGATTCCAAGGAAGCCTGATGGAGAAGGCACATTCCCTAGCCCACCTCCTTGCTGGGAGCCAGGGAAACTGCTGGACTCTGGGGATACCCACGTGGCTGCCCCCCTCTCCAGGGAGCGCCTGGCGCCATCCTTAGCTTTTCCTTTTAACAGCCTCGTTCCCGTACTGTGATGAAGTAGACCTCCCTTTCCCATGGTGCTTGCCCACTGGGGGTTTGAACAGTCAATCTCACCCAACACAGAGCCATTGAGAGTCCTGGCCAAGACGGCTCTCGGTTAGCATACAGATGTGATAAATGCGCCAAATCAGCACTGAGGGAGAGGAGGGTATTGGGAGTGTCAGGCCGCTGTTCCTGCTGCGTATGAG